CTTCCTGTTCAAAGGGAGTTTTTTCTCTCCACTGTCGCTACAAGCATGCTTAGCATGAGGGATTGCTTTAGAGTCAATGAGTCGATGCAATCAGCTGTCCTAAAGAGAATTCATCTTTATTCATTTTCTGAAACTCCTGCAGGTTCAAAACGTTGGTCAAATAAAAAGATTAACATTTAGCTTCAATGAGCTAAACCAGTGAAAATCCTAATTAAAACTACTAATAACAAGAAAACACTGTTTATTGGGGCGCCTCTAATGTTTAGTTTGGTTTTAACCAAAGTCTGTCAGCTGTAGTTCTTCTAAATGTCCTGAAGGTGGCGATGTATTAACTTTCAGCCTTCTTCTATAGTCTGAGGTTTTATTTTCTAATAATAATAAGCTGGTAGTTTAACCCTTTTTGTACCAGTAGTGACCACAGGGGGCGCTGCTTAGAATGAGTTTCTGAGCGTTTGATGCATCATGGTGTGTAGAACTGATGGATCCAGTCCCTTAAATCTCTCGTTTGTTTCCGCAGCTTTCACCATGATGATCATCTTGGCTCTGATCCGAATCGGGAAAGGCGCCGGGGAGGGCCGCCCACCTGTCGCCAACCTCTCCGGCGTGCCCAACCTGTTCGGGGTGTGCGTCTACTCCTTCATGTGCCAGCACTCCCTGCCGTCGCTGGTGACGCCCATCTCGGATAAGAAGCGAGTCGGTACCCTGGTTCTGGCGGACTACGTCCTGATCCTGGGCTTCTACGTCCTGCTGTCGTTCACCGCCATCTTCTGCTTTGACAGCTCGCTGCTCCACGACATGTACACCCTGAACTTCACCGACAACTGCAACGTCTTGGACATCCCCGTGCTGCGCTACTTCCTGGGCCTGTTCCCGGTTTTCACCATCAGCACCAACTTCCCCATCATCGCCGTGACGCTACGAAACAACTGGAAGACGCTCTTCCACCGGGACGGGGGCACCTACCCGTGGGTGGTGGACCGGATCGTGTTCCCCCTCATCACTCTGGTGCCGCCCGTCATTGTGGCTTTCTGCACGCACAACCTGGAGTCCCTGGTGGGCATCACGGGGTCGTACGCGGGGACGGGGATCCAGTACATCATCCCGGCGTTCCTGGTGTTTTACGCCAGACGCCACCTGGAGCCGGTGATGGGCAGAGACGCCGTCAACAAGCACCGCTCTCCTTTCCGCCACGCCTTCTGGGTGTGGTTTGTGGTGGCATGGGCGGCCTCCTGCCTCATGTTTGTCACCGCAAACATTATCCTGACCGACACGAAGAAATGAGGACGGCTTTCATGAAACCCTGCGACTGTTCGGCCAGTTCCTCTGTTTTCTCGAGGCCTTATTGCTGCTGGATGGGACCGTGTGCCTTTAAAATAAAAAAAAAAAACAGACTTTAGTTGCTTAAATTAAGTTTGATATTAATTTATCAGATTTTTAAAAAGGGACCAAATGTTTTTTGTTCTAAGTTGTGTTTTTTTTCAAAGGGATTTTTATTAAAATGATCTTTTCTCATCCTACAGCTTCCAGAGGCTCCTTGAATCAGACTAGTGGGCCGTTAGCCGGAGAGGAAAACAGGGAAGCATCTAAAGGTTGCAGGATAGTAGCACCATCAATGTCTCAACCTGCTACCTCGAACCTTAGTGTTGCATTTCCAACGCACAAACTTCCCTTCCTCCTTTAAACAAAGCAGTCTGTGATTTAACCGACTATAGGAGGAAGATTCAGGATTTCTGTTTTTATTAACCCTCATTAAAACCCCCGACTGGAAAACAGGCAGCGCCTCAAAGGTGAAGGATCTGCTGCAGCTTTTTTCCTGCAGAATATTCCAATAAAACTACAACGAAGCGACAGAAGGACCAAAGAAAAACTGCTCGTCTCACAACGATTGAACCGTCTGTCACAGAACAGCTTCACGGCGCCGTAATGAGATTGCAGGTCTGGGAAGATAAATGAGGGTTCTGCTGCCGTGGATGGAGTGAGAAGGTGGCGGTTCCTTCATACCGGCGCTGACGCCGCTGGCTGCCTTCACTTTAGGTTTAAAGTTCGGCCATTTATCCCTGCGCTGGTTCAGAATGGCCGTTTTGATAAAGAAATGCAGGTGGTTTGCAGACTTTACTCGCCTAACGAATCCTCTGAAAAGTCGAGCCATATTCAGAAAACCAACTACTAAAAGTACTAAATATAAAAAAATCAATGATCAGTGTTTTTAATTAAGAATAATTTTAATTTGAATGTGCTTTAATGCAGGCATCCATGTTTGTCAAAGAACACTACTGCCACCTACTGGTTTGTGACGTCTCCCTCTTTACCCAGCATGCATCAGAGCAGACTTGTCTGTTCTTGAGATTGACAGCTGTCCCAGCATGCACTGCGGCAGCAGCAGCGTCCGATTTTCCAATATTCTCTTTTCTGTTGCTGTTGTTCAATAAAAGTACATTTTAAGATCATTTGAGGCGAGAATATTATACTTTAAAGCTTCACTATATGGCCCATTTACCCATTTAATACGTAATAAAAAAAAAAAATCCGAAGTTGAGACG